CTGTTTCAGAGCCTTCTGGAGAAGTACTTGCTTCCCCGCCCCCCTTTTTTTTTTTTAAAAACCACTAAATGAAAGCAGATACTCTTCTGCTCTCACTTAACTCCCGTTTGAGACTGAAGAGACAAAATGTGGCAATACTCAACTACAAGAGCTAGGAACATTATACCACTTGTTTGCTTGTGGTATCTAAAATGTAAGCTTTTGCACCTCAATTACCAACTTCCAGGGTGTTGGCACCTTTGCAAATCTGAATTCTAGTTTTCTCCATGTGCCTCAGTCCACACAACCACCTCTTCCTCCAGCAGGTGGAGATACAAATACAATGAGAATTTTTGAGTTAAAAAAAAAACCCAGAGTGCTCTACAACCCTGCAAAGAAATGTGCAGGACCAAAATTTATAGTACTCAGATCTCACTCTCTATGGCCTCTTACTTGTATTAATAGCTGTATAAAGTTTTAATAGATCAAAACACTACTTAGTCTCAATGACATCTCTTGTCAAAGCGTGACTTGACAAAAAGAAGTGAAACTAATGTCATTAGCTAGAGTGTTAAATGAGAAATTAACAAAATGTACTGGCAAAACAGAATTCCTTATTACTAAAAAAACCCTGCAGCAAGCCACACAGATAAAATACTAGAAAAGAAAACATTAGGACACATCAGCTAAGCAAAGACCTCTCTGACAGTATCTGACTAGTAACACACTTGTCTGCTTTTAAACAAACTTAATAGAACTTCTGGTATCTCACCCATAATTCAGTTCCTTCAAGTTTAGGCAAAAAACAGCCAGTGACAAAGATACTATAGGTCCTCACTGTATGAAAAGCATTTGCGGGAGCACCCAGGCATTAGCCTGTGGACAATCAGGGCGGGAGGGGGGAGAGGGGAGCAGTTATAAATGCAGCAACCACTGGGAAATGATTCAATTGGAGCTCATGTCTTAAAGTCCTGATACCGATCTGCTACTTACAGACTTTCTTGGCTTTAAGGCTTTGATACTCTTTGCCTCCTTTCTTAGTGTTAAAACTACATTATGTGCCTTTTATAGGAGGAGACAATTACCCAGATGTTGTTTGACTTGCCAGCTGTAACAACGCAAATGAGTGGCAGAGCCAGCATTTTGAACGAAGCACTCTCAGACTTCCAATCCCTGCCTGCAAGCATGTGTTCTCCTACTAGACCATGCCTGCAGTTTACTCCTTTGTGCTATCCTGCATACAAGTTTCAATATTCATTCAAAAATCACGCTGAAGAAATGCACCACTACGATCGCGCTCTAGACTGAAGCACAGACTGCCGTCCCAGGGTTTACTGTCCATGTGGATTATTCTGAGTGGCCTGTGCACTGACTCACAATCAAGAAATGGCCTAAACCCTTACCAAGCTATTTAGATAACGAAAGAAGAAAGATACAAAACAGATTCCATGGCCAAAAGACGATTCACAGATCATCTGTGGTACTTAGTCATTCTGAATTAGGGGACAAGCGGATTTGGCCCCAAAGGATGTTTGAAGTTCCTGAGGATACTGGATGGTGACAGATCAACCAAACACCCTGCATCCTGTTTTATTTATCCCCACTGCAGTCTAACTGTCTTGTAGGTCTGGCAGGTCTTCTAGAGTTTCAGAGAGTTCTATGTTTTCTTTTAGATATCACTCTGTGTAAGCATTATTTAAATACCAGAGAAGGGGAAGGTGTAGTCCTCTTCAGAAAAGAAATACAGCAAAGCAGAGGACAATACAGGGCATCTCTCAACAGGCACTGGGAGGCTACTAGGTCACTAAATACTCAAACTTTTGACAGCATTGTAAATGTATGTGGCATGGCAGTAGATAAGAGAAAAAATGTGGCTGTCTTCCCAGTGACCTTATGAACTGACAGATGGGATAGCAGTTCACAGTTTCATACTTTGCTTTTCCTAACATGGATGTTGGGGGGTGGAGTGGGGGCGACGAGCTTCCCAAAAGAATCTGAAGAGATGTGTAGGACAACACTTTGAACGCCATTCCACGCACAAAAGGTACAATCAGTCATCCAAAAAAACCCCAAATTCCTCAAAGTTATCCCCTTATTTCTTAATCTCCTACAGACGGGAAGTCTGCATTCTGCTGTGATTCTCTGATCAGAATTCTTTAGTCATCATCTGCTCAGATTACTCTGCAGAACGGCATCACCCACCAGCACTGCCAGGCACTCGCTCACCGGCTGTTTGAACCAGGCACCATGAGGAAGCTGGCACAGGAGCTGTGATGTTCAGAAGATCCAATCTTCTCCTCAGACTTTGGCAAGCTGGTCTCTGTTAACTTCACATCTGCTGCAGGGAGGTGGCAGCAAGTCTTCCCTAGCTCCAGCTTGCTCTAAGGCCAGTGATCTTAAAGAAATGGGGGTCCTCACAGACCATGGTACCAGGGGCTATATAAGTATGTAAAACTTGAAGAACTATGGGAGCAGCACCTGCTAGAGATGGCCCAGTAACATTACATTAAAAATCCAGCTACTTTCCATGCTGCTAAGAATTAGCTCCTTTTTCTATGAAAGGCCAGAGGCAATTTGCTGGATTACTATTGGGAATATAAATGCATTTTCAAAGAAAACTAGTTATCAGCGCCAGAGGCCATTCCCCATTTTGCATCCTTACCCTTAGACATCTGCCTAATCTAGCAGTCAGCCTGGGCTGATAAGCCAGTGTTCTTCCATTACAAGTTGAGCAATCTTATCAACAGCTCGGTAACCAAGCGTAGCAAGTGCAGGACTGAGAAAGTGATAGGGCCTGTTAGAATAAGATTTCTTGAATGAAATGATACACTGATGATGGCTCTTAATTCAGAGACTGGATACCCATTTAGGTTTGATTGTCAGAATGTGCTGGAAATGTCCAGTCCAATTTTATCACTTACTTCCCCAGCAGGATCCCTGATACTCCGTTTTTAACTAACACTGTGTAAGAGGCTTTGTTCACTGCTTTACCTTAATTTTGAAAACTTCAATTGAGTTTGGCACTTACACAAAGTCTGAAGCTGACAGCTTGATTGCTGCCACCACCTCTTACTTTCTGCAGGAACACGAGCATAATCTATCTGTAGCACATGATGCAGTTCTCCACATGGTCTCTCGGTTAACTTCCCCATGGAGAGGACATGAGAGAGCAGAGTCTAAACACAGGTTTTTGAGCAGAGAGCTGCGGTAAGCATAAACAGCATTCCCTACAGGGGTTTTTACCACACTGTCTTTGGGACATCTCTGCACTTTTCAGTACAGAGACATTGGAGCTGGGTTAGCATATGGTAACCCAGCACTAGAAATGTCAAGGGCATGGAGCAGACACACCGTTGCACCAGTTCCCATATTTGAAGCCTTAACTAGTACCTTAAAAATACAGTTTTTGATTGCAGTCTACAATCAAAAGTAGCCTACAAATTTATCTTTTTAGTCTACAAGTCAAGGTAAACTACTGAGCATGCAAAGCAGCACAGCTCTGTGGCTGGTTGAAGACAAAAATGTAAACTCTGCTTTGAACCCCTGCTGCCGGGCTGCAGAAACGAAGTTCCTGTTCACAAGCCTCTACTATTATTTTTTGAACTGCACTAACTCTGGCCCAGTTTTCAAAAGACAGAGACATAGGCAGCTCTCATAGAAATATGAGATACTTGAGCCTGCAAGATGCAGGGTTCTAGAAGAGCCTGTTATTTAAAAGTTGCATCTGGAGTGGAAACCCGTCATGTTTAACTAGAAGGAAGGGAGAGTCCTGGTGTCCCTTGCTGAGGAGCTATCTTCCACAGCTGCAAGAAGCAGTTGTGTTATTAGAAGCATCAGTCAGGGAACAAGGCCTCCAGCCTCTTTATCAGGACACGGATTGGATTGAATGGGAAACAAGGAAGTCCAAGTCAGCAACAGTCTCCTTGGTTAATGCAAGGAAGATGAAAAGCCTAAGTGTCTAGGAGGTAGAGCTCCCAAACCGTAACCCTCCACCCCCATCCCCCATCATCAACCCTCCAGGCAGGCTGCCAAGTCTTTAAGCGCCACTGCCAGGAAGCTGGGAAGTCAAGCTAATAAGAAACCGGACAGTTTTTCAATAAAATATCTTGCTAAAACTAGGACACTTCTGCAATTTTGCAGAGGATGCTGAATCAGCGCACTCACACAGAACATCCTTGCAGGGGAAAGTTCTCCCCAGACTACTGGTAGACTTAGTAAATCCTAGACAGTTAGCTGAGGAGACACAGAGATTTCTCTCAATATAACACACTTTTAAAACGCAAAGTAGAATCAAGAAATTAAAACCGCTTGGGATTAACACTGCTCTAAAGAATGAGTTCATACTGTCTGTGCTCCCAAATTAGACTGTTGCTTTAAGCACCATAGCTAAACTCATTATATATTCTTACCAGCAATATGCGATTAATAACAGACGTGAACAGATATGCCTTGCCCTGCACAACAGACAATGTTTTTTTTTCCCATTTTAAAATATTAATTCCTTTGCAACGTGGAAAATTTTAACAGTTTTAAAGCATTCATAAAATGTCATGAAAAAGGCAATAGAACTAATCAGAAACAGCAAAAACGGAAACAAGATTGCAATTTAATTTCCTAGAAAATAATGTGCCACCAGCTGTGTAAACTTTCTTGTAGCTAAAACAAATATTCTGAAACCAAGCAGGCAGCTGATTTACACTGTAGCATGTTTCCTCACCAGTCAAGCCTCCCAAAAAAGCTCTCGAGTTGTCTCTTAGACTGTACAAAGGCTTTAAAGACAGCCATACATCAAACTGATTTGATAAGCAGGATTCAGAGTGATCTTTAATTTTTATGTTCAGCTCATTAACTCTGAGCTCCTGCTGACACATCTAGTACTCCCGCCACATATACTATATGCTCCCTGAACGCAACAAATAACCAGCACAGCATGCACTATTCTTCTGACATACCAGAGACATGCAGACTCTAGCAACTGGACTCTTTGGTTTTGCCTCCTGAAGAGAGAGCCGACTGCCTACCTGCTGATTCCAGTAACAGGCACCGTGCATTCTGTAGAGCTTCCTCTTCTGGAAACTATGAAGTGGCCTTGTTCGGGCAGATGTGCTGACACTAGCCACGGAGAGAGATCTTAGTCTTGTCCTGTCTCTCCTTCTTTTCTTGATGTGCTGATGATCAAGCAACCAGCTGCTTGAAGAGGATACCTCTCTGTTGTCTGAAGCTCTGCAATTTCATGATTAATGAGGGGAGGAAATACAAAAAGTTACATACGCTCCACGTGCACAGACCGAGATTGCATACACCGATTAGCATTAGCTATCTAATTCTAAGAGAATGTTATAAACACTAAAATGTTTCAGCAGACTGTTTCAGGAAACTGTGTATGTGCTTTGTTTGCTCTTTGATTAATTCTATGTTAGGTCACGAAAGGAAGTTTATCATTCTTGTTCACTTTTCTGCTCACGGAAACAAATGTCAAAATGAAGTTAAGCCCTCAAGCATATAATGTTTTTTGGTTTTTCCAAATTCAAGAACTCTCTTTCTAACACTTCTAACACCTATGAGTTTTAAGTTACAATTAATATTGCCCTACAAACTTACATTCCATTCAAGACAGCAGTCATGCTAACACAAAGAAGGACTAGAGTCCTGCCCTAATACTTTTCAGATTTTCTAGTTTTGCTCAAGAACTGAAACTTAAGTAAAGCTTACAAACAATGTCTATTCAGCGTAGGGGTTGCAACTCACTGTGAAGCATTTGTATCAAAATTAGGAACTCTGCACACTTAGTTTAACCAACACAAGGCCATTAAACTTCACTTCCAGGAATGTGCCAATAGAGCTCTCCAATAGAGCCCAAGCCCAGCCTGGGGGAAGCTCTCGGAGAAGCCTAGCGTGTTTGTCTGTCTTTAAAACCTAGAAGCTGGTTAGACCCAGATGATTTGGAAGAATGCAAGCTCAGCTCCATGGACATATGGAAAGCTTTGTTTTAACATTAAATCTCAATCTTACCTGCATTTCCCCAAGTGTATCCCTTTCAAATCCCCCTCAGTGTTATAGCATCATCTCTCCACAACCTTACCTACATGCACACTTACAGTACTCAAGTCCCTAGTAAAACGGTATCCAATCGCAGAAGTTACATGACAACACAGGATCAAGTGTGGTAGAAAACCCTACACATATATGTATAAAACCTAGGATCACTCTCACCAATCTGCAGCCTGTCTGCTCACCAGTACAAGGAGCACTACAAGGTAGTAATTCAGAACACCCTCCATTTGGGTGGGAATGACTCAATGGGAAGAATGCACTTCACTTTTATAGGTATCCTGATCTTATTTTGTCACTGTAGCAACATCGGCCTGCAAAGCTGAAGGCTTGCTGCAAAAAGCACTCAAGTGTGCATTTATTTTTACAATACTGAAGACCTTGACTGCAACTCTAAACTGCCTCAGAAGTGCAAGTATACGAGATATTTTGGCCTTGGTTCATAACAGGTCATCTGTCTGCACAAATTATTATTTTCTCTTATGAACTTTAGCTGGCAAGTCACAGCCTTATTAGCAAAGTTATAACACACAATACAACATGAAAATGAATTTATTACAAGACCATTTATCAATCTTTTTTGACATGTAGTATTCTTCCAACAGCACATTTTATTAAATAGAAGTGCTTGTTATGAAAGTGTGATTAAACACCATCCCATGCTGTGCTGGTGTAGTAATAAGGCTTTATGGGCTCGAATTCGAGCTGTCCTTCTGACACATCAGAACAATCCCAATAAGCAACACAGACTCAAAGAAAAAAATGTGCTAATTAAAAGAGGGATGGTACAACGTATTTAAGGGAACATATTAGTAAGTGCCAAGAAAAAGTCCCAAAATACTGAAGCATTACATTCGTAATGCTAACTACCAAATTTTTGAGGCTTGAGAAAGAAATAAAATGTTTAAAGTAAAAAAAAAAAAAAGTTAAAAGAAAAAAAAAGTTAAAAGAAATAAAATGTTAAAAGTTTTCTTAAAATACTTTCTCTGAATTCTCAGAAACATTTTCTCTGTAATCATCCTCCTCGAAGTCAGATGGTGCCAAGCCCAACTTCTGGACTTCCACGTGCCTTCACCTTACATGAAAGACAACTTGGACAGGTAAATTAGAACAAAAAGCTCCTCAGTCTGGCTCTTCAACTTCTGTGATTCCTGCCTTTGCTCTGGTGGTCTGCCCTGGTCTCTGATAATCTCTTCAGTCTCTGCCAGCTGCTCTATTGACCCTCCTGTGCCTTACGGTAATGCATGGCTCCATTTTCAGATGAAGCAGAGACCTTGGTTCTGTGGCTTGGAGCTCCAGTACACAGCAGGATGGTTTTCCTGCCACTTGTGTAAATGGGCTTCCCAGTCAAGGTTTAAGTTACCCTTTTCTTTTGATGTTAGTTTGGGTGTTTTTCAAAATGTGACTCTACAGAAGAGCTGAGATGAACCATCACCAGATGTAAAATTCATAAATTTGCTAAAACACTCCTTTCAAAGCTCATAGGTTGGCCTTTCTTGCACTGTAGCCTAGCTAAACAGCAAAGACCTTTCTCACAGATACACACACGCACAGCAAGCCATCAGACAGGCACTATCCTGTTAAGAAAGTGGTTATCGCTAGCTTAGGGAACTGCTTCTATGAATATTTACCTTTAATGCATCTGGCTAATCTTGGCATCTAAATTCAATTGAACAAAGAAAAGCTACACAGAAAAAGGAAGTCACTAATGAAATTAGACCTTGACAAACAACAATTCAAGGTTACCTGCATTTCATCAACCAGGAACCATACGTGCACCACCACTTCCACTGCCCAAGTAACCAACCATACTGCAACCCCATGATTACCAACCTCAAAGCATCTCATGCTTAGACCTACTTTAAACATGAACTATTACATCTTTCACATCAAGAGCCTACAACTAATGTCAAGAATTTACTTAAGTAAAAATTGCTGTTATCCCTTTTTTTTTCCTCTTCAGTAACAAAAAAATCTCCTTACTTTCCATTTGATTTTGATTTCTACTTTCTCAAGTACTTAATACAGTCCGAGTGAGCTCTAAAAAGAGTGAGGGAAGAAGCAGCCAAGAAATGAAGTTAGCTGTAGTATATAACTGTCTCAATTAATTGCACACAAAACTACTACAACAACAAAATACAACAACAAACTGAAACACACTCAAAAAACCAAGAAGTAGGAAGCAGTGAATTTCCCTGCAGGATTCTCATGACAACCACTCTATATAGTGCTTAATTACCATCTTTAATGAACAGTATTTATTTGCAGATTTCAAAACACTTCACAAGAAGCGAAAAATTAAAATTAACTATTTAACTGATTTTTAAGATGACATCTAGAAAGGTCTCAAGTGTCTCAGATTCCCTTCCAACACCTAACTCACGAACTCCAGTTTAGAGCTACACCACTGAGAAAATCTTCAAAGTCTTCCCATTCTTCTTTGGGCTTTTAAAGGTCATGAGTAGAAAACAACCAGCCTTGGAGAGAGTGCTCTATGAGCAAACAACTGTGTTGCTCATAAAATGGAAAGAGGACTGATTTTGCACAGTGTCTGATAAGTCAGAAGTGGCTTGAAGTTACATCATTAGAGTCCCTCATCATGAAGTCAACTTCATACACTCCTAAAAACATTTTTAAAAGCAGGAGCCCTTCCTCATCTGTTTCATGAAAAAGTCACAGATTCAAGACACAGCCTTCTAACAGCATAAATTGCTTTCTTCTTCCACATACCCATCTCTATTAGCAACTCCTATTTCAGAGATATTTTTATTCCAAAACTCAGAGGAATCTTCTGATTTTCCCCGACATTATTTGTAAACAACTGATACGTCAGGAGCACGAATGCTACATGACAGGACCCCTTCTTTAAATTTAGGGCACAGTCACACAATTGCTTTGGAACAGACAGCAGTTAAAGAAGTTGCCCATCCAAGCTACTCATTATAATCTCTTTGTGGGAGGCTACAGCCTCTGCAGCAAAGCTGATGAAACAGACAGCGTGGCCAGGTCTTCTTGGAGCCGGGAGCCAGGGAATTACGTTCTGCTGCAGACACTGCCATAAACCTCCCAGCTGTAGTAGGGAACACTTTCTTCATCTACCTGATCTTAATTAAGACCTACGAACAACAGCAACTCCTCCATCCTCAAAAATCGCATTACCAGTATTTCAGGAGAAATATTCTACATACCTAGGTCTTTTGTAAGACTGGACTGTAGTCAACTACCTTAATGCTGTTTTGAGACTAATACTGATTACAGCCTGCACTACATTTTAAAATCTTAGAATAAATTATGGAAATACTAAGAAGTATGGAGTAATACTGAGAAACATTTTTCTACAATATTAATTTCGAGCTGCTACAGTCATCCTGGAAGGTATATCCATTATCCAAATGGAAAAATATTATCTCCAAATTCTTGAAAAAGTAGCTGGCAAAGATAAATTTGGCCTTGTATTGAAGACTGATGTGCCTAAAATTAATGAAGCTGCCACAAAAAACTAACACTGACACATGCTGAGGCACAGGTGACATTGCTTATGTATTCTACTAATCTAGCAAAGTCTAGTTCATTGCTTTTCCAGAAATGAAGTTGCATTCATGATGACAGAATGTCAGTCTGAAATAATAAGTAGCGTGTTATTTACCATATCCTTTCACTACTTCACAGATATATTCAACTTCCCAGTATTTAAATGTACTTACAGTGACTGCATAATTTTATGATGTCTTTAAGAACAATATAAAACCCTACTACTTTCAACCTTACAAGCACGACTTGACTTTTCCTGAAGCTTGCAGGAAGCAGCTCTCTTTTCCTGATTTACTACTGTAACGATTATCAGTTCCATCTATATAACTTTACCAAAAGTTATTTTTAAAAAAAATGCTACCATACTGTCACCTACCTGAAGGAAATGCCATTGACCAGCTGTCTGTGCCTACAGGTCTTGGATGAAAGCGATGAAGAAGCTGGAGACAGATTGAGCGGAGCAATTAGGCTGCTGATGATTTCACTCAGTTGTGCGCTCTGGAAAAAATAAAAAAAATAAAAGGTAGTTGGACTTCTGTACAGACTCAACAGCTCAAAGGTCCTGGGTTTTTGTTGTTTTGCTACTTAGGATTCCAGTCACATACATCATGGAATAATCATATTTAGTTTCTTCTTGTGAATAATCAAGAGTGGCATGTTTTTTCTTTCACAACTATTATGTCCAACTATACAAAAAAAAAACCCCAACAAACAAAAAAAAAACAAAACGAACAACAAACACAAAAAACCAACACAACCCTGAACAACCAGCCAAGGACATTGTTTATACATTTGAATAAGGAGAACACAAAACACATCAGTGATTTTAGTATTTTAAACAAAGATTTCTAAAAAAGCAAAAGAAATCAGAACACTTTACAGCTGATGTTACAACAGCTGCAGCCCAGAGCTGCTAACTGGCCATTCAACAAGCATTTCAACAGGGAAAAAAAAACCTCTGCTGTCTACTCATTGTACATTTTGTTCACTCAAAGTATTTTTCTTGTTAAAAGAATCCTCTTCATTGCTCACTGTAGTTTGACAAAGGTGTTTTTACAAAAGGAAGTGTAACTAACAGGAGGACTATTCTAACTACAGACAGAATGGCTAAAATCTTCTGGTATCCTCAAAAATAGCAACAAGAAGCCCCCACCCCACCAAAACCCAGACTTTCAGAACTGCCCCAAAACAAATGCAGCTAATTTGTTAAGACTAAGAATTACTCCTTATAAAGCAATGAATTGTGGACTGACTCCAGATAACATTTCACAATGATTTTTTTGTTTTAAATGTCAAACCTTAAAGGCTATTCTGACAATAAACGTAGCTTTCTTAGAGGAAACTCCGTGGTGCACACTAAACAGAAATGAAATGTATCTGAAATGGCATACAATTTTTTTTAAACTTTTAAATTATTTTGTAGGATTTTCATTCAGAACTAAGATTATTTAAAACAAGAATTACTAAAGGTTACCCAGTAAGTTTTCCTTACATTTTGAGGCACTACCATTTATGCAGAAAGAGGCAGAAAAAATTATTTTCCATTTTATTACAACTCATGTCTTTCCTTTTAATGTTTAAGTGATGCTGTTGGGTAAAAATTTCATGTCAGAGTAAAATATTCAGGGATGGATATTAAAGCACAGAAATAGCAAGTTAATTATAAAAGGTCTGGACAAAGCAAACAAGATGCCAGTAAAATATGTAGCAGATTGATTGAAAAATCTCAACAGAATTCAATCTGTAAGGAGCAAAGTCTCTACTGAATATAAAAGCACCAAAACAATGGCAGACTTCCAAAACACAGGGAAAAACATACATGTTTTTAAAACATTGCACAGCTATGAAAAGGACTTGAAAACAGTATTAATAAAAATTGCCAGGCTCAGGCACTTTGTATTCTTTATGATTTTTTTTTTTGTTCACAATTAAAATTATTTATTTTTAACAAATAAATACTTTAACACAGGACCGAAGAATTCTGTGGGAGTATCTGTGGATGTACTTCAGCCTATAGCATTGCTACTCCTGACACTGAACAAGAAGAAACTCAGACCTTCAGAGTTAAGGTTGATTTACAGAACTGACAGTCAAAAAGCAAATCAAACCCCAAAGCTTTTTGTCGTAAAGGGAAGAAATCTGATGTAATCTGTGAGATGCGTTACATGAAGAACACCTTTACTTCCAAGTAATTTTCAGATCATCAAAGTTCTTGGACCTCTGTTTGTAGCTACTTAGGGACCAGGAAACACACCACTATTACTCTAATTGTCCAATGTCTTACTGAAAAGTGCATTTAATTCTCCAAGTAATCACTTAAAGAGGAGACATTCACCACATTCTAAAAATGCTCTTTGGTTTACCTTGTGCAATTGCCAGCACTGCGCATATAAATTTCCTGTTTCATTGCTTCCTCACTCCTGTCTGTTGTAGATAAGATCTATCAAACAGGGGAAGCATTTTAAGAACAGGAAAGTATGACTATCAAATAAGAAAAATTGGCACAGAGATTCAGAAACAGGCATTAGTACCTAAAGCTACTTTTACCCCATTTAAAAAACTTGCGTATGACCAAGAATTTACGTACAGCAACATAGAAACATACTAATGCACCATACCGCCTTTGTCAGGTTTGCTTTACGCTAACTGCATAAATTTATCTTGAAAACAAATTTCCTGTATCTCCTTCAGCAAGGTAATCTTACCACATTCTTTATGTACTTTCTAGCAAAAGAAAACCCTGCTGGAGTCTATATCGTATTTCCTGGAATTAACCTTGGAAATGACTGTTTTGAACACCATGAACCGAGACTCCGCTCACAGCTACGCCTACACTATGCCTGTTAAGTACCTGGAATTCCTCAGCTCCTAACTGCAGTCCTATGACGCCTGAAAAGGCAGACCAAGAATTATATTGTGTTGGGGCTTTTTTTTTTGTTTCAAGTGCAACACATCTCCATCTTCAGCTGTACTCTTTCATCTCACATAAGTATTTCCTGAAACAATCTGTAGCAACTCTACATTGAGCCTAACTGTAAAGGAGAGGCAGGTTTGTGGATAGCTATTAGAAGTGGTTATGTGGCCGCTTTGATGGAAACAAAGCGGTAACACAGACATGTCAGAAATAAAAGGTTAATTTGTAAACCTGGTGTATAATGTAGTTATTTAAGCCCTTCAATTCATCAGCACCCACTCTTGGGACAGCAAAATATCTTCCTTTTTGGAAGCCATCACCATGGAACCTGCCCTATTTCTGAAGTAAATCACTTGGCTCCATTGACCGTTCAGTTCTTATTTTACTTTACCTGTTTTTCTATGTTTCGTAAAAGCAGGGTAGGACTGCTGGGTGACATTTCAAAGTCATGCTCCGGCAAAGAATCCTGTCTCTCAACGGCAGCTTGCGAATTCCCTGTGGCGTTTAATAAAGCTTCTTGGTCTGTCAATTGTATTTGCTTCTTCAAAATGTCTTTTGGAAATGGGAATTCTTCTAAGATCACCATCCCCTAGACAACAGCAATTGAACACAGTTGGTTGACAACAGATTAACCCTCCTAAATCATTTTTAAGGGGCAGTCGAATCTGGCACATCCCCCTTAAATCCTCCCAGCAACTCTTTGGAGCACTTAAACTACGTTTTAAATACACTTAACAGCTAAAATATAGAAATAGTAGGTATTTTCATTAATGAAAAGCTGCACCACTTATTCTAGTCCTTATAACAGCAATCACTCTGGTGTTATACCAATGCTTAAACATCTGTGCCAAAATTCAAATCAGAAATTCATACTTATTAGAGCAACTATATGATCATTTGCCCATTGATTTAAGAAGAGGTTTTTCTGTAAGAAGCAACCACCCTTTGATTTGAAGTTGGTTATATAGTCTTTGCAGCCAACAAATTTTGCATAGGCATTTTAAAGTGCTCTATTTTTCTTATTCCTATCCATGTTCTAAGCAAAACATCAAGGTTGTTATTTTTTACGTACCAGAGATAGATACAATTCAAAACAAAAGCCTTTCACAATTTAATAATTGATTTTTTTTTTAAGGTGAGCATTTTTAGAGTTTCATAATTACAGAGGTAACTATCCTAAATACTCCAGCAATCTCATTGCTTTTCAAGACACTCTGCACAAATGTGGTATCAGACACGGTCTATTGTCTAGAATGTCACCTAGTAAGATAAATATAACTTTATATGGTAGGGAAATAACAGAGTTTCATAAACGGAAGTAGGAAAAGAATACCTCCATTGTGTTTTCCACATGACAGATTAGAAAAATAAAAGTGTCAAATACAATTCTAGGTAACATCTCAGTTGGTTTGTTTTAACAACTTAAAATGTTAACCAAAATAATAAGCAAAAATAACTTTGTAACAGTCAAAAATGGTTCCTCAAATAGTCCCTTAATTTGTCATTATCTTGAGCAAATAAATTTAATACTTGGAAGAGGCTATCAAACTTCTGCAGGCTTTTTCCAAAGAGAAAGGGAAAGAATTTACTTCCTTGTAAGTACTGATTGCTACTCAAATATCAAGCAGATATTGAAAGAATGGGACCATTCAACTACACTGCCTCAAATTTTTCTTTCTAGTGAGAATATTCCACTAAAAAGCAAAGGAAGATTCTCATCATGTGAACACAAGGAACCCCTACATTATTTCTTTTAGCAAGACAGACTTCACGTAGGTTATGGCTGTGGAAAATTAAGGAACCTATAGTTTTACTCACACTGTGACTCCTGCCTCAGCAGCAACTTGCCCTAAAACATGAAAGCAAGTCTCAAAGAGACTTCAAAGAGGAGACTAGGAGAAAATGTGAAATTGTCCTGTTCTCATTGTGTCTCTTATTCCCCTGTTTAAGTTATAAATTTAAAGCTGAGAACAAAGATATTCTCTAAAAACAAATGTAGGTGCTTGAAAACTTGCTTTAGTGCCCAAAAGGGGCACAGAGATTCTGAATTTCCATCAAGTCAATACCAGATTTTCCACATCCATTATCAGGTAGTAGCCCATCATCTGTGCTTTTCCATTTACAGCATATGGAAATGAATCCAGACAGTATCGTACTACAATCTGTAGACCAACAGCAGTTACAAAGCAGGCAGTACCTTCAAGGAAATTCAAGTATAGATCTAACTTCTATGTGCCACAACTGAAGGACAAGCTAGCTCAATAGCTTTAGACTCTTTTAGAATTTAGAATCTTTGGATCTTTTTAGTAAAAGAATCATAAGTCATGACCACAGAGAGAGCAAAAGAAATAACCCACTCAAGTCTATAACACAAATTCTGAAGTCAGAGGAATAGAAAGACACATAGGAAAAGTGGTGAAAAGGCACGGGGGGATGTTCCCCTCGCTTCACTGCAATTTCATTTTTTTAAGTTGCAGAATCCTGTTGACAAGCACGAAAAGAGGAAAGCAGAAAAGGAAGGAGAAAACTGACAGACTGTATGAAAAGGGAGAGATGGAATAGGCACAGAAGAAAAGAGGAAGAGTAAAGAATTAGAAGATTAATACTGACTATATAGGAACTGTAAGTTAAATGGGTTCATTTGGGTTTTATGGTTTTCATTATAATATATGGGTTTTATGGTTTTCATTATAATGGGTTCATTCAAAATCAGTAGATTTTGGCAATGAACTCCCTCCTCTCCCCCCTTAAATGGAATTGTTTTGTTTTGCAGATATACTTTTTTTTAAATGGAAGGACTCTCAAAGACCCAGAGCTGCTACTTCTGTGTGCATACAGATGGAGAAGACGCAATGTAGTAGGGCAGGAAACTGCCCACAAGTTAACCATCTCCCTTCCTATTGTGTTATGGTGTTAGAGAAGTGGCTTTTTGCTTGAAATCATTGTTCACCGGCTATAAATCACATTTTTTTCCACTCAAAACACAGGAAAAACACTCTGAAACCATTAAACACAGCATACAAATTCTAATGATATTGTGTAACTACTTTGCAGCCACTAAATGAAAACAAAGAGCTCTTCTATCAGCCCACATGTCCTTCCATAGCTGCTGCACTGGTGTACTGCAAACACATACACAAAACAAAATCACAGATGAAGAAAATACGTGTCTACCTTCACTATGGGACACAATGCAAAATACTGAATACCACTGCTGGTAAAAGGGGCATGAAGTTTGCAAAAAGGAATGTCACTAAAGATCTGCACCAGGAAGATGACTAGGCTCCAAGCCAACATACCACCTAATGTGAAGAAAATGCATGACTAAAAGAATATTCTTTCTCTCATTTCTCTGTTATTTATTTCTCCGTGTTCTGCAGCTCATGAGACCTATGCCACCCTAAAGGCTGATAGCTTTTGGGTGTAACAGTGTGCATGTACCTGGTATTTAGGACAACACTAAAATATGGGCATTCTCACCCTTCACCAACATACAAAATCTCCTTTCGCTTCCGTGGCACAGGGGCAGGACAGACCCTCAAACAAAGGCTCTTCAATATTTTTTAAAGAAAAACCTGACTGGGGAAAAGTTGTGAGCAGGAAAGACAGAGCTGGATGTGAAAAGAAGGGCTCTGAGGGCGAAAGGAGAAGAAAGAATCATTTTTCTTCATGCGCTCAAAGGGATATACTCTCTGGGATAATTTCCCTCTCCTTTTAAAGTCTCATGTTCAGCCACGTAAAGTCTAAAGCATCTTCTGGCTCCTCTCCATCTGTGCTTATCTGACCCCAGCATAGATCAGACAACCTACATGAGGCTCATCAATGGAGAGTCAAAGAGCCCTCCTCTCAAACTATCACACCACCAGAATTATCACAGGGTTTGGCTTCTTACATATGAGAATGACCTGGGGAACCCATTAAATTGATAGATAGATTATTAATGTTTTAGGAATGTGACTTTCCCACTGTCTCGCCAGTTCGATTTACAAAAACTAGTACATGAGTTACACACATTGGAATTTTAGTAATAGTTAATCCTTGACCTGTTCAAAGTGCTGTACAAACATTAACTAGCTAATCCTCAGAATAAACATGCACTGTAAATAACAAAAAAACCCACCCTGAAACCCCACAACACAAAAATGAATAATCAATCACCCCACCTGAAAACCAAATCTTGCCTCTTCTTTAGAGGGAAAAACTAGTGTGATAAATGCAGTACCTTGTGCTGGGCCCCTGAAAGTCACTAACAAAGTCACTAACTATCACAGATGGGAAGGTAAGAGCTCCGGACTCCCAGTCCTGTATTGGTGCCTCTAGGGTACAATACTTTTTAGCTCCTGATGTCTTCTCATTAACCTTTGCAAGCGATAGCCTGCATGGATACAAGAACTCTAGGGCAAAACAAACAACAACAACAACAACAACAACAAACCAAATAAATAAATAAATATTACAAGAAACATTGTCAAAAAATTATTTGAAAAGCCCATTTATGAGCTTACAGACAATACCTTGGTGGCACGTATCTGCCTGTGAAGGTCAGTTAGTTGTTGGATTTTGTATTCTAGTTCTGAAATCTGGGCTTGAAGCCATGTCCAACGGCTGCCAATTCTAGCTCTGTCTGCAAGCCACTTCCATTCAGAAGTATAGCTGCTGTGAAGACAAAATGCTGGTTAGTCCAAAAATAAAGATAACCACATTTGCACAAGAACATTTTTGACAGCTGCTCTGCCTCATGTTGCAAGCATCTCAGTTGCTTTCAGAAGATATCTGATTATACCCATCCAGTTTCACATCAGCTTATTTGTGTAACTACAGAACTTGCCCAAACCGGTATGATCAATGTTCACTGGCTATTCCCAGGCTAAGCTAGTTTTCTGTTCTGTATTATAAAACCCAGAGCAGGAGAAACTACCAAACTGTATCAGTCAATGCAGATTACAGATTTGTAAAGAATTCCAGTAACTCCACCAGCAAGAACCCAAATTCTTACACCATACTTCTTCCCACAAGCTTTCACGAATATCATTTGCTAACAATTGGAATATAGTAAAACACCATCCAGCAATGACCAGCAACATATCAAGTCACTGTCCAAAAAACCAACTAAGTAGTTTAGATTTCTTTTATTCAAGCTATTATATAAATACAGCTGCGTCAGTATAGTATAGTTAGGTCACCTCTTATTGGTGTTTACAAATAGGTGTATTTTATAACACAGAAGATATGCCTCCCAGTACTTATCATTGTGATTAGCTTATTATGCTAAATTCATCACTGGTATCAGCAAACTTTACTCAACCTACATATTGAATAAATGAATTACATAACAGTACCACTCAACAAATAAACTTAACATCCAGTAAGTTTAAGCAGCAGAGACAACACAATGCAATATTTTAGTATGCAACTTCCACTAGTATCCTACCATTACCTGTGTTTATTTATTTAAAGAAAATGATTAGTGTTTTTTCCCACTAAAGTTGTCAAGTAGTTTGCCACAGCTAAATTAAAAGAGCTGTAAAACAAAATCAAACTTCTGGAAAAGAAATATTTTTACTCGTTACTGGGTAACTACCGGATCTAAATTGTGGATGACACTCTATGGTAAGTTTTGCACAGGCAGAATATGTGATCCCCGGTTCCCCAGGCAATGAAGAGTACTGAAGTATCACAAAAGATACAAGTAAAAGCAGAAGCCAGTGAATTGGCGTAAGAACATCACACAACTGCAATTGTTTCATGCAGAATTTTGTGTCAACTAACTCAACAACAAAAGAAAGGTAATACATCACCCTGCAGAAGATGCTAGACATTTCCTGGCATGAGTAGAGAATCACCAAATTTTAGAATCCTGATATTTTCAGGGCAAAGATTATAAAACATAATATAACTCAAAATCTCAGAACTTTCAGTCTACTTTAGCTATGATAAATAGTAAGAAGAGACACAGTCTCTGGTAGGTTACCTCTAAAATACATAATTTCTCCCTTTTTAACATAAATTATCTGCCCACATAATTTACAACCAGCTTAAACTCTCTCCTACACTGACAAAATGAACATATGAAATTAGACAGGAGATTGAAATGTCCTGTTTAAATCCAGATTGTACATACAACCAAATAAAGTAGACTACCATCAAAAAGAAACTCAAAGAATTCTATAAATATATACCATAATAAATTATTTACATTTTATATATTCTATTAGTGATTTTGTCCTAGGAAAAAAGCCATATGAAGTCATCTTGTGAATATCTGTTTTTCTGACAACCCCTTCTTATTTCTCTTTGTTTTCCCATTATCACCAGCACATAGTAAATAGCCCTGGTTACTTATGCCTTAACCAGGTCTTCTTGCCAAGAACATCTCTGGGATTGACAGCTTTTGCACATTTGTGCTTCTGGAAGTCAGAAAATACAGTTTGCAGGGAAAGGGAGGGATCCGAATTCCTAGTTGGCTCAAGTCAGAGTTCAATTAAATAATGTGTTCACACAAGTGTGGTGGCTGGAATAGTTAGGATTTGTCTCAAGACCCTGGGAAGGCAAAAAGCTAGTCCTAAGAAAAGAGCTGCTTAATGAAGCTGTAACAAATCCCTTAATCATTTCAACAAAAAAAAGTTAAATAGGAATAAAGAGGATAACCGAGAAAAACCCAACAGGAGTGCTGAGGTGCTTATTTCTATTCCTTTCTCAAAAGACAAATGAACAACTAAACAACAAAACCCCACAAACCAGGACATTTTTACAAGAAAGCCCAGGTGAAAGAAAATAAATCACACTGACAGAATTACCTCCCAAGCTAGATGCAACAGTCTGGGGAGAAAGGTGAGCTATCCTCAAACAGACCAAGGAGGAAGGGGGAGCAAATAAGAAAAATAAAAAGTGCCCACACAGCTGGGAAACAACAAATGGAATGGAACGGGCCAGAGCTGGTCTTATGTCATATCCACTGTATGAAATCAGCATGTCAGTAACGGAGTCCATAATCAATACCAAACCACTGCAGATAACAGAAGAACAGTTAAATATTGTAACCTTAAGACAAACAAATCATATCCTCTGTATATTACTGTCTTATATATAAAAAAAAAAAATCTCTGCAAAGTTATATCACAAGTTATTTTTCAAAAACGTGTTTGCAGTTCTTTCTTAAACACTATTAAATCTTGAATTAATTGCATTCACTTTAAATATATTACGTATATTTTCACTTCATTCTAAAATACCATGCAAGTATTTCTTAAGGCTTTAAAGTGTAGTATATAATTAAACTAACAGGATTTAATTACACTGTAATAATGATGTCCTTAGGCTGCTCTGTAAGGAAGAGTTTCCATCGAACTAAGCACAAACATTTTAAGCTCACGCCAAAGGAAGCAATTTTAGCTTCTCTCCCCTGCCAGCCCAGGCTGCCCTGTGCCCAGCGCCTGCACAAGCACTTGGGCAGCTACACGGTGAGATGGATTAGAGAGTTGCTCATGGTTAATTTTAACTTTGGAGGCAGGGTGAATGAAGCAAGTTTAAGTCTAGATCCCCCTCCCAGTTTTGATGCCTTGCAGGCAGACAGACACGCGCTTTTGCACTGCCACAAGGGAAGGGGCCAGAAGCTCAGGGCAAGGCAGCGAGCGCGAGCTCACATTTACAGGATAGGAGATGAGACCACTGCTAAATTCTGTTTCCATCTCTGTCACCCACATTTGTTTGATCTTACATTATTTATTTACCATCTTTGCATCTAAGTCTATTTCTCTACAAACTATTTAGTAAACCTTGTAACTTCTCAGAGGAAGATAAAATCATTATAAGCTATCCTCACACTCCTAAAGTGAGCTGTCTGCATGCAAAGTAGTATGGTCACTCAAGTGACAAATGATAATCTACTATTGCAATTAAAAAATAAAATTAAAAACATCTGTAAATTTGCTCCTGGGATGTTAGGGAGTACAGCGTAACATTCACTCAGTTAAGAAAGCTGCTTCAAGGTGGCACCAGTGAATTCATTAATTCTGCAAACCCAGAGAAGAAAAAAAAAAAAAAAACACAGTCACAAAGGGTTACAAAAATAACCAGGCGAGTTACGGAAGGAGGAAGTCAGAGCAGGTGCTAAAGTAGAAGCTCCTGCTCTGGTTCTCTGTTGGGAATGAGACAAGAAAAAAAAAGTTTCTGTCTGTCCTGTTTCCTGTGTGCTCCTTTTGCAAGGCAATCTTTACTTGGTTTCCATGCTTTTGACTCTCACATCATACATCCTCCACAGGAATTTCAAATTTGTTCTTCGGCTGGCAACTCAATATAAACCACATTACATTTGCAAAAGTTTCTAATGTTCAGTACTGTCATACAGTGAAATATTAACTTACATATAAACTTACTGCTCTTGCAATGACTCTGAATCTGCAGCTGACCTCCTGCACTCACCCAGGACTATTAGAATTGGAAGAGAACGAAGCCATACTGACTTTGTATGAATAAAATATTTCATTTAAATTTCCCTAGAAAAACATGCTGGAATTGCATCAGAGGCAAAATTTGTTTCCATGTGAGATACTGGCTTGCATTTCCCCTGGTTTGATTAAACTGCAGGAGGTCAACCCTGCAAGAGAAAAAAGAAATGCAGAAGAAACAAGCCACAAGGAGCACAAACACAAATGCAGACAGTCAAAATACGATAAAAAAAAAATATAATTGGGAAGGAGATGCCCAGGCTGTACTGTGTCACCCCAAAGTATGGGAAAGAATTGAGCTGGGGATCGTCAGCACCAGCAGAGGCAGTATACGCATTTCATCAAAGCTACTTGCTTTTGCTGAGACAAAAGAGGCAAGTGAAGAGCACTAAATAATATACTGCTATTCCAGTCAGTACTGAACTTGAACTGAACAAAGCCATGCTCTATGGACAGAACATATGGATGAACCCCTCAGCACTCTCCCTCTCCCCAAAAGAGAAAAGTGAATTGAGAACAAAGCATGCTTCTATGTAACCAAACCAACATTGGAGAATGCAATAGGACTATGAGAAGTATTTCCAGTACCTCCATTATGTCGTGGGTGAGATTTATGTTTTCCCAATAGCTAAAATCAGTCTGTCCCAAAAAACAAAACCAGGCAACCTAACTGAATGCAAAGGGGAACTGCTAACCAAAATAAAATTGCTGTGCTAGACACACTGTTGTTTGGGTCTTGTGGGGGGGGTTGGTTGGTTTTTTTTTTGTTTACAGGGGAGGAGAAGGGGTGGAATTTAAACCTTTCAGGCATATTTTATTTTTATAAGCAAACAAAACAAGAAGACTGAAAAACAGTTCGTAAATAATGAAGGAGAAACACAATGGTGTTTAAAATGCACAAAAAATACAGAACCTGGGACTGACAGTAAGTATCCAGGATGGTTGACTCAAATAGGTATGGTGAGCAGAAGAAAGAGTATTTTAGAGCACGCAGCTCTGTGCCCAAGGCAAGATTCTCCACAAGTATCTTATATCCTGCAAATTAAAAGAAAACTGAGGCCTTCCAGCCTCATAACTCCCAGGGAGAGCAAGTAACATGCCCGTACCGTGACACGTCTGCAGGGACAATGACAGGATGCTTCCTACTGAACAGGAAAGGAGGATGCTTGCAACAGACTCACATCAAAAGTCCAAAACGCAGGTTTGCCA